ATTTTATCTTTTGTGACACTAATTCGAACTTATCTAAATTAGTGGTAGTTAGCTTAATAGGTTTAGTTTATTAATACTTCAATTTAATTTTGTATTGATTTTGCAATCTCAGGGCTTGTATGCAAGGAGCACCTGATCAAGATTTGATTCCCATAGATCCAGAGATCGAACGTACATTCCGTCATAGACAAAGAGAAGCAAGAGCGGCACAACAAATGGCTAACGAGCAAAATCGACCAGCAATTCCGCTCAACGAAGGCATGGCAGTTGAAGATGATGGGAATACAGTACTCGGGGACTTCATGGCTCTGTTGGTGGTCCAAAGTCAATCTAGCATTGTGTATCCTCCATTTGGGCAACCGAACTTCCAGCTAAAAACAAATGTGATTCAACTATTTCAGAATGGGCATCAATACCATGGGATGGCTATTGAAAACCCACATACACACATATCCCGATTTCTGGATATGTGCCAACACTTCAGGTATCAAGGTATCTCGGACGATGCTATAAGATTGCGGTTGTTTCCACACACCCTGCGGGATAAGGCACTTGAATGGCTGGATTCGCTTCCCGTTGCAAGCATCACCACCTGGAACGAGCTAGCCCACAAATTTTACACCAAGTTCTTCTCGCCAGCAAAGGTAGTCAAAATGCGGTATGATATCTCTATTTTCAACCAAGGTGAGTCCGAATCATTTGAAGAGGCATGGAATCGTTTCAAGAATATGTTGAGGAAGTGCCTGCAACATGGTTTTGACAAGAAGACACAGATCTGATTTTTCTACACTGGACTACTTCCATCCTTCAAGAGCATGGTGAATTCCTCATCTGACGGGTCTATCTCCACGAGAACAATTGATGGAGCATGGGAGCTATTTGAGAGAATGGCAACAACTTCAGCCATGTGGTCTACAGATCGAGTGGTTCAGAAGAGATTGCCAGGGGTTTATGAAGTAGATACTTATTCTGTACTATCTGCAAAGATAGACTCTTTGTTCCATAAGGTTGAGAGCATTTCACAGACCGCCACTGCTAAACAAGTCAAGAAGCCGAGTTGTGAAGAATGTGGAGCAGAACACAATACTGTTAATTGTCCAATTATCATACAAGGGGTCGAACATGCAGACTTTGTGCAATGGGGTCAACGCCAACAGAACAACCCACATTCGAAAACCTTCAATCAAGGCTGGAGAAAACATCCAAACTTCTCGTGGAGCAAACAGAATCAAAACAGACCACAAGGTCAATATCAGCAGTAGGATCAAAAGCCACTATTGGAAGAGATGTTTGAAAAGTTCATGGTAACAACCAACCAGTAAATGGAAGCCAACAATCAATTTATGTGAAAGACAGATACAACTCTTAAAGACCAAAGTACAGCAATCAAAAATTTGGAGACACAAATGGGTTAGATGGCAATCTCCATTACGGGTAGAGCACCAGGAAATCTGCCCAGCAACACTGAAATCAACCCTAAGGAGCACGTAAAGGCTATAACAACCAGAAGTGGAGTACAACTACCGAAAACACATGTCAAAAGATCGGTAGCTAGCAAGGAATCAGCACCAACCTCAGATGACGAAATTGTGGAAAAAAGTAAACAAAGAACAGGGAATGTGGGCAAGGAGAATTCCAATACATCACAAGATGTCATTCCTATCAACCTTCATGAGCCTCCTATTCCATTTCCGTAGAGATTGAAAAAGCACAAATTGGATCAGCAATACAGTAAATTTCTTGAACTCTTCAAGAAACTACATATCAACATTCCATTTGCCGAAGCACTTGTTCAGATGCCAAGTTATGCAAAATTCCTGAAGGATATCTTCTCCAACAAGCGAAAGATAGAAGAACACGAAACAGTAATGCTAACTGAGGAGTGCAGTGCAAGAATCCAGAGAAAGTTGCCTCCAAAACTAAAGGATCCAGGGAGTTCTACTGTACCTTGCACTATTGGAAATTGTCATTTTGATAAAGTATTGTGTAATTTAGGTGCAAGCATTAATTTAATGCCCCTCTCTATTTTCAGGAAACTCGGCTTGGGAGAAGCTAAAGCCACGAGGATTATATTACAGTTAGCAGATATATCCCTTACACATCCAAGAGGGATCATTGAGGATGTATTGGTAAAAGTTGAGAAGTTCATATTTCCAGCTGATTTCCTTATCTTGGATATGGAGGAAGATAAGGATGTTCCACTTATATTGGGGCGACCTTTCCTAGCTACTGGAAGAGCGATTGTTGATGTTCAGAAAGGGCAGCTTATATTGAGGCTTGGCGAAGAGCAAATCTCGTTCAACGTGTTCAAGGCAATAAAATTCCCGACTGAGTCAGACAGCTGTTTCCAGATCGATGTAATTGACAGAATAATTCAAGATACATTTCGACTACATCATCCTTCCAATGCTTACGAGGCGTGCATTGCACATTCTCAATCCACTCACACTGATTCGAGTGAGATTGAAACATGTGCACGATTCTTGGAGACTAATCCGCCATACATGCGCAGACGCTACTTCGAAGAATTGGGAACCAAGACTACACACTCAGTGCCATCTATTCAGCAACCTCCCAAATTGGAACTCAAGCAACTGCCACCACACGTGAGATATGCTTATCTGGGGGTATCTTCTACACTTCCTGTTATTATTTCAAATATTGTCAGTGAAGTAGAGGAAGAGAAACTACTTCGGGTGCTAAGGGAAAATAAAACAGCCATTGGATGGTCGATTGCAGATATCAAGGGGATCAGTCTGTCGCTATGCATGCACAAAATACTCATGGAGGAAAAATTCAAACCAAGCATTGATGGTCAGCGGAGATTGAATCCACACATGAAGGAAGTGGTCAGGCCTGAGATATTGAAGTTGCTCGACGCAGATATCATCTATCCAATATCAGATAGTGCTTGGATGAGTGCAGTCAAGTTGTTCCCAACAAAGGGGGTATCACAGTGATAGAAAACGAGAAAAATGAGTTGATTCCTACACGGACTGTGACTGGATAGAGAGTTTGCATTCATTACCGTAAACTAAATGCTGCTACTCAAAAGGATCACTTCCCACTACCATTCATTGATCAGATGCTGGAGAGACTAGCAGGACATTCACATTATTGTTTTCTGGATGGATATTCCAGGTATAATCAGATTCCAGTAGCACCTGACGATCAAAAGAATACAACTTTCACTTGCCCCTATGGTACCTTTGCATACCGTAGGATGCCGTTTGGTTTATGCAATGCTCCTGCTACTTTTCAGTACTGTATGATGGCTATCTTTATTAGATATGATTGAGAAATTCATCGAGGTCTTCATGGACGATTTCTCAGTGTTCGGGTCTTCATTTGATGAGTGCTTGGAGCATTTGAGTCTTGTGCTACAGCGGTGTACGGAAACTAACTTGGTATTGAGTTGGGAGAAATACCACTTTATGGTACAGGAAGGCATCGTGCTAGGACACAGAATCTCAACAATGGGTATTGAAGTGGACAGAGGAAAGATTCAGGTGATCGAGAAATTACAGCCACCTACATCCGTGAAAGGTGTTCGTAGTTTCCTCGGGAATGCCGATTTCTACAGAAGGTTCATCAAGGATTTCTCAAAGATTACTAAATCGTTGTGCTGTCTGTTGATGAAGGAATCCATATTTGAGTTCACAGATGAGTGTCTGCTCGCTTTTTACACCTTGAAGGAGAAGTTGATTTTAGGACCCATGATCATTACGCTAGATTGGAATCTGCCATTTGAAGTAATGTGCGACGCCAGTGATTATGATGTTGGGGCTGTCTTGGGACAACGAAAAAATAAAATATTTCAGGTGATTTACTATGCAAGTAAGACCTTGAACGACACTCAACTCCATTATACCATTACAGAAAAAGAGCTCCTTGCCATAGTCTATGCCTTTGACAAATTTCGATCTTATCTCGTGGGATCAAAGGTCATTGTTTACACATATCACGCTACTATCAAGTACTTAATGGAAAAGAAGGATACAAAGCCCCATCTCATTCGTTGGATACTATTGCTTCAAGAGTTTGACTTGGAAATCAGGAATAAGAAAGGTAGTGAATATGTAGTGGCAGACCACTTATCTCGACTCGAGACCACATAACAGACAGAAACAGTGGAAATCAACGAAGTCTTCCCAGATGAACAAATTTTTGGTTTGGGGAGGCTCCCTGGTATGCAAACATTGTTAACTACTTAGCTAGATCCATCATGCCGCCTTATTACTCCAGTCACCAGAAGGAGAAATTTTTCTCTGAATTGAAATATTATTTCTGGGAGGATCCCATCCTATAGAAGTGGGATGCAGATCAAATTGTTCGTCGCTGCGTACCTGAGGAAGAAGTGCATTTGATATTAGAATATTGTCATTCATCTACATATGTAGGGCATTTTGGTTCTTCAAAAACAGCAGCGAAGATCCTTCAATCAGGTTTTTATTGGCCTACACTATTTAAAGATGCTTTTGAATTCGTGAAAAGGTGTGACCGATGTCAACGCACCGAAAATATATCCATGAGAAATGAAATGCCTTTGAATAGTATCCTGGAGGTGGAACTATTCGACGTCTGGGGATCGACATCATGGGGCCATTTTTCCCATCCTTCTCTAATTAGTACGTATTAGTGGCTGTGGATTACGTATCAAAGTGGGTAGAGGCCGTTGCACTGCCTACCAATGATGGGAAGGTGGTGATTGAGTTTCTAAAAAACATATTTTTACCCGCTTTGGAACACCGAGGGCTATAATCAGTCACGGGGGCAAACATTTTTGCAATCGTCAGTTTGAACAATTGTTGGCTAAATATGGCGTTAAATATCGTGTAGCCACTGCATATCATCCCCAAACCAGTGGACAGGTCGAAGTGTCCAATAGACAATTGAAGCGAATACTCGAAGTCACAGTAAGCTCATCACGAAAGGATTGGTCTAAGATATTGGACGACGCCTTGTAGGCATATAGGATTGCATTCAAGACCCCTATAAGAATGTCACCATATCGACTGGTTTTCGGGAAAGCATGCCACTTACCTCTTGAGATAGAGTATCACGCTTACCGGGCAATGAAGAAATTGAATTTGGATTTGAAGGCTACGGGTGAAAAACGTCTCCTACAACTTAATGAGCTAGATGAGCTCAGAATGGAAGCCTACGAGAATTCAAGAATCTACAAAGAGTGCACCAAGAAATGGCATGACATGCACATTCAGAGGCGTGAATTTATGGTGGGGTAGAAAGTGCTGCTCTACAACTCTAGGCTTAAGCTATTTCCAGGAAAACTGCGATCGAGGTGGTCTGGTCCGTATACTATTACAGAAGTTTTTCCACACGGGGTAGTTGAGATCACTCACGATAGTAAGGGGACATTCAAGGTTAATGGACAGCATCTGAAGTACTATTGGAGCGGCGATTTTTCAAAAGAAAAGTCTACCGTTCATCTTAAACCACCAGAATGAAGCAATACGATAAAGTCGGGCTATCGACTATAATCTAGCGCCGAGTGGGAGATAACCCACTGTATCCTTTTATTCGCTTACTTTTCACATTATTTTATTTTCACATTTACATTTTTTTTGAGGTCATCGGTCGTACATGCATGTTAATAGGATCGAATTATCATCTCCATAATTTTCTGGGCATTACCCACATTGGTCGGTTGTTTGAAATGATTTTGGGGTGTTTGAGAATATGATTCACGCATTTCTAAAAAAAAATTGAGGGAAACTTCTTTTTTGGACTTTAGTGTGTTAAATATATATATTTTTTATTTATTTATTTATTTATTTATTTTTTTAATTTGGTCTATGCGACCGCATAGACATCTACCGAAAGTAATAGGGGGGAATTTTTTTTTAACTATGCGGCCACATAGTTATAGCCGGTCATGGACTTAAGTCCAAGATCGGCTCATTCGACTTCCACCTTCCCCATTTTCCCTCACCCATTTCTCTCTCGCACTCTCAACCATATTCGACCACCACCACCCACCATATTCTTTTCATCAATCAATCCCACATTCATTCCTTCTCTTCAAGGCACAAAAGGTATGTATTTTTCTTTTTTCTCTTCTCCTTACATTTTTCATTTGTAGTTGTTCTTACTCTCCAATTTAGATTTCGGTTGAATGGGTGTGAGTATGCTAGGTTTAGGACTTTCAATTGTGTTTTTGATCTTTGGGTGATTACCATTTGCCAAGTATGTTTAGAATAAGGAAGAATTTTTCTTGCATGCTACATGTTCGATGAATTGCCCACGTGAACTTTTTCGTACATTTTGCGTGTTTCCGCATTAGATATTTTGAATATATGCATTTTCATATACGTGATGCCTACATTCCATCAAAATTAAGCTCGAAGCACTCACGTACTAACCACTCACACATTAAGGCACACGTGTTAGGTTCACGTCACCTCATCACACCCACTTCGTCCCTTGCGTTAAGTACCCGTACAACGTCCAATGAGCTTGAGATTTGAATATGTGTCACTCCACACTATGTACTTTCATATGCCCGAAGGTTGCTCAGGAAAACTTCTAGTTTTCTCAATGATGTCCGGGGGCGAACGTGCACACTTAATCATCGAGTTACTTGATTCATTTTGGTTGTTTGGACCTATGTTTGTGTGTAACTTGTTGTTTTGCTTTCCTTGGATGTTCTTGAGCATGTTTTCTTGACATTTGCATGTTACCACATTCACAACCACTTGAACAACCATGTATCACATCACTTCCATCTTGCAACGCATAAGCACATGGCATGTCACGGCACCCTACGTCCCATATTTTCCACCATTAATTGGCCCACCAAATGAAGTCCATTTGCTTTGAAATTGGAATATGTGGTAGATCTCATGGAATACTCTCATATGCCTGGAGCTTGCCTTTGGGAATATTAATATTTTTCGACGATGTCCAGGGCTGAACATGCGCACTCGGTCATGGATATGATTTTTTTTTACATGTGTTTGTTTCGGCCTAACTTTCCTATTTTTCACCTCAACATTCTCTTTACGCTTCCCTCTTTGTCATACTTTGATACGTGCACACCATGGTATTCTATATGCTTGTTGAAGCAAGTTTGGGGGGTTTGTAAACTATTTGTCTCGCTTACCTCATTCCCCCTATCATTTTTATTACTGTGGTTTACTGACTAATGTATCTTTAACTTTGTAGGATGCCCCCAAAGTGTACATCAAAGGAAAAGGAGAAAGTTGGTTCCACATCTAGCACAGCCCGGACTCGGGAACCCGAAGGAAGAGTCAGACGTTTTCTTTCTTCCGACCAAGCAGCCCGCTATGCCAATGTTGTCCAGGAATGGACGCTCATCCCAAAAAGACCAGTTAAATTGGATGATTTTTCGGGTTTTGAACTGGTTTATCTAGTCCACAACTGCGGGTGGGAAAAGGTGATCAAAAGACCACACCCCATCTATGAAAACTTGGTGCGGGAATTCTATGCAAATTTCAATGCTGAAATAGACACACTGGGATCCGACCATCTGCATCAGACTTGGGTTCGGGGCAAATGGATCATGTTTTCACCTGAGGTAATACATGACTACTATCATCTCACCTGGACAAATGTAGTCTCAGTCCCGCATGATTTCAACTGGGCTAAAGTGATCGAAGTTTTATTGGGCCGGGAAAATGCTTGGCAGCTCCCTACTGCTGATTGGTATCAGATAGACCTCACTCTGTCTATAGCCATCCTTTGGTTATTCATCTGCCACAACATCAAGCCAATCTCCCATCGGACGACATTCACCAATCAGAAGGCAGGTTTTATTTACCAATTAGTTCGGGGGAACAAAATTGACTTGGCCACCTATATTTACAATCAGATACACGTTATAGGCACATGGGGGTGACAGGCACACATCACTGATAGTCCTGAGCCTATTAAGTGGAATTTGTAGAGCAGCTGGCATACAAGTTCAGCCAGGAGAGGCAACGGAGAAACCAAGTCCTTTTATCAAACGCCTCACACTCGAGGCCCAGGACCGCGCCAGGACTAAACATCAGCAAAAATTGGAAAACAAGCGCAAGCGACAGCAACAAGCTACAGAGGGGCAAGCAGCTACGAACTTTGAAATGCCACAGGCTCTACCACCACCAGCTGACGTGGACACCCAGTTATTGCAGCAGATGTTTGCTACTATAACTGGACACGATCGAGACATGCAGCAGCTTCAGAAATCCTTTGGGGCACTGATTACCACAATTCAGCAGGTGCAGACAAATATGGCATCTGCACGAAACTTCGCATCCACTGCCAGCAGTGAATCCATCGCAGCACGTCGACAGATGAGTACCTTTGATGGGCATCTGGGTATGTACGTTAGCCGGATGGACGGTATACAGTGACGGGTGAACGAGTCTTGGGATCATCTAGGGAATTTGGAGACGAGGGTTCATGCCATGCAGATGGAGCAGACCTAGCAATCTGCCATGTTAAGGAAGATCTTGTCTCGCCTTCCCTCTCCTCCTAGTGATGATGATGCTGGGCCCAGCTTTCCATCCCAGTCGCCGTTTTGATCCGGGGAGTATTGTTTATCCCATTTTGATTCTTCATCTTCATTTTGACCTTAAAAATTATGTCGTTAATCTTTTGTTAATCTTACATTGAGGACAATATATTAACTAAGTTTGGGGAGGGTGACATAATTTATTTGTGTTCATCATCATCATTTGTTTTCATTATTGCATAATGCATGCATGATGAGTGAAAAAAAATTGCATTTTATTCAATTTGTTTTAATTCTCTTCATGCATGCTTGTGTGGGCTTAATAACCTCGTTCGCTATGATGTTATTATTGGACTAGTTTAAACTGCAAAACTTTGGATCTGGTGTTAATTAGACTAACTGATACTTGTTGATGCAACACATGACATTATCTATGCACGCTATTCATGCTTGACATGTTAGGTGAGTGAATGGATTTTGAGCATAAAGTAGGAAAAGAATGATAACCCTCTATTGAATTAACCCATAAACTACCTAAAGACAGTTTGGTGATAGTTGAGCTATTATAGGAAAGCATTGAGATGAGTGGGGGCTCCGTGCATGAAATTTATTGTGTGGATTGCCTAGACCAGTGGGATGAAGAGTAGGTGAAAATCTTAAATTGGGGGTTGATTTTGGAAACTAAATGTCTAGAAAAATGACAAAGGGCACAATTTTTATATGTGAAAATAAAACACTTCTTTTCGAGCCTTTATAACTCGAGTGAGTAAGCCTGAAAGGGTTTAAAACCTGATGCCCTACAGCCAACTGGTTTGGGAGTCACTGGCCTAAAGCTCGTTAAAGAAAGGTGAGAAAAACAAAAGAGAGACAAAACATGACGAAAAGCCCTTAGACATTTGGTTGAAGAGACCGTACCTCTGAGGCGAGACAAGTAATCTAGTTTGATCTTGAGTGTCAAAGCAATCAAATCTAGGATAGCCTTCGCTTTTTGAAATGTAGACTTGTGATAGTAATGCTAAATCCGAACTACGAGAGGGTGAGGACTACAACTATATAAATTCCTAATCTTAAAACACAACCCTGAGATAATTGAGTGAAAAGAATAAGTTTGGGGGGTTGTGTATCTCTCGAGAGAGTAAGGATATATTTGACTACTTGGGGTCGGGACTCAGATTCATCATAAATCTGATATGTTGGCATGAATTCACACACACACGTCAATTTGCATTAAACAGGTAACGGTTGATGTCATGTTTGCACAGATAAATTTTTAAATGCTCATCCAATCCTGATCCACAACAGGGTATTAAGCCATATTTGTTCAGAATTAAGTCACTATCTTGTTTGAGGACAAACAATAGTTCAAGTTTGGAGGGTTTGATAAGTGTGTTTTTGCACACTTATTTAGGTCACAAACATGACTTAAATACGAGCAAAATGATTGAATTGTGACTTAATCTTGTACATTTGTGAATTGTAGGAAATAACGATGAACATGGTGAAATTCAGGAGAAAAGACTCAAAAAAGGACTAAAGTGACGCAAAGTGAAAGTTCAAGGACCAAAAGTGCAAATATCCAAAAGTTGATCCGATGAAAAAATCGAGAAATCGATTAGGCCAATTACCAATTGACGATATCGTGGGGTGATAAAATGAAAAGAATGAAGAGAATATGTCAAAAAGTGAAGGATGCAAGTGGGAGGACCAAAATGCAATTTCTCCATAGTTGATAGTACTATGCGACCGCATAGTATTATCCTCTATGAGGTCGTATAGGACCATACTGAAAGCAAATATGCTTGAAAAATTTCTTCTATGTGACCGCATAGAATTGCTCTATGCGGTCGCATAGAACAAAAGTTTGAAAAAATTTAGTTTCCTTGTTCTTCCAAAACTCTTATGGAAACAAGAATTTTAGAGTTCTATAAATACAAAAACTCCACCAGAACGAAGGGGACGCCATTTTTACATGTTTTTAGGAGATTTTGAAGAAGAAACAAGGGAGAGAACAAGAGAACAACATCGCGCCAATTGAAGATCGGATTGAATATTGATATGGGTGATGTCGTTTCTTCAAATACTTTTAAGTTTTGTTATTTTTAGCATGTTAGGCTAGATTTATTACTACTAGGAGATCGATGAACTAATACTACGTTTAATTGTTGTTTTGGATTTTTGACGTATGTGAACACAAATTTCGGAATTGATTGATTTATTTCGTTTTTATTTTCATATAATTACTGTGCACGTGATTATATGATAGTGGTGACTGGTTTTATGCATTCGAAAGAAGGAAAATAGGTTCGATGTAGTATAAATCGTCATAGGGTCCGATAGAGGATAAAAATATACCTCTATACTTTGTGTGAATCATTTGATATTCGTGAATTATAATGCATGTCGGTATATTAGTATTCGTCATAGAAATATAGTCGAATCATATATTGGGATAGGTTTGGCATTGCTCGAAAGAGATTGCTAAATTAAAATAGGAATATCGATTCATCTTTTGTGGAATTGTGTGTCAAATTTGCATAAATGACTATTGAACCGGTATTGCTTAGGGATTCGTAATTCTAGTGAGTTAGAACATCCATTAATTCTATAAATTTTAGTTACATTGCATCCAAGTTACTTTGAACTTAGTATAATTCTTTGTCCATAATTGCATCAACGATTATATTTTGTTAGTTAAAGTGCAAAAACGCAAATTGCTTGTCGAGTTTCGGTTAAGGTCATATTAGATTAATTCGAACTAATTCAATCCTCGTGTGATCGATACTTGGACTTATAGTCCATTTTACTACTTGTTAACGAACCGTAAACTTGCGGTGGATTTAAAATCGGAATAAACAAAATTTCGCGAACATACTCCCTTGGCTGCTCACTTTAAATTATCATCTAGGTTGTGTCCTCAATCAGATAAAGATATTGCTTACATCTATCGGGTTCTTTATTCCAATGCAATTGGTTCGTTTATGTATACTATGGTTTGTACAAAACTAGATTTGGCACATGCATTCAGTGTAGTTTGTCAGTACATGACAAATCCTAGCAAGGACTATTGGAAAACGGTGCAATAGATATTCAGATGCTTGAAAGGCTCAACTAATGCTTACTTGCATTTTGGAAAAAATATAGAGGAGTTATTGGGTATGTAGATTCAGACTATACAAGGAATCATGATAAAAGGAGATCACTTACAATGTATTGTTTACCCTTGGAAGTTGTACTATCAGCTGAAAAGTTATTTTTGCAAAATACAGTAGCTTTGTCTACAATAGAAGTAGAATGCATGGCCATTACAGAGACTTGTAAGGAAACTATGTGGTTGAAGGGCTTAATTGGTGAAATTAGTGAAAGCCTTGCAGTTTTCTACAATTTATTGTGATAGTCAGTACTATTTTTCTGACTATGGATCAGATGTTCCATGAGAGAACTAAGCACATTGATGTAGTTACCTTTTGGTATGGAAAGTAATTGCTTGTGGTGATATTGTAGCGAGCAAGATTGATACCAAGGATAATTTCGTTGATATGATGACAACCACTTCCCATTGCTAAGTTTGAGCATTGTTTGAACTTAGTTGGTATTTGTCATTGCTTTAGCCCACTAGGTCTTGTTTGGAAGAGATTGAGTGATGTTTACTTTTGAGTTCCTTGTATTGAAATTTGGTTAAAAGTGGAGATTTGTCATGGTATGAATTGAATTCTAGTGGGTATAGAAGGTCGTATTTGAAGTAGTCTTAGATAGATCAAAATTATGGACTGGAAAGAAAAATTGTCGCATTTTCGCTAACCTACTGTTAGCTGACTGCTCGAGCAACACTAACAAATTTTTAATAGGCAGATTTTGTACGCCCGCCACTCGAGCAACAAGTTGTCGCTCTCGTGTCGCTCGAGCAACAATGTTTCTTGATTTTCACGTTTTAACCCATATTAGACTCTCATTAATCTACAACTTGGTTTCTAAAGTTGTATATATATAAGTCACGGCTTGTATTAATTCATAACTTTTTATACATCATCTTGAGAGCTTTAGATCTTAATTGATAGCATTGAGATTATATTGTAAACAAAATTGCTATTGATTATAGTGAATTTCTTCTCATCTGCCTGTGATTTTTTCCCCTTTTGGATTTCCACGTAAATCTTGATATTCTTGTTTTGTTCTTCTTTCTTTCATTATTCTCATAATCTTCCGGTCAAATTCATAACACTTTGAATGTTTCATCAATCTTCCCCATGGAAAACATAGGTATGAATGATGAAAAAGTCTTACATTTCTTTTTAATTGACCATGACATTCTAGTGTATATATATAGTATGGGCTCCCACTAGAATGTCATGGTCAATTATATATATATAGTATGCATTTTAAATTTTTATGTTTTCCCATAAATTTTCCCAACTTTTTAACCAAAAGAAGAAAATAATTAAAATCTTGTTCATAAAGGGTCAAGTACTCTAGGTTTATATTTATACTAGGTGAATTCATTGGCGTAATTCCTTAACTTTTCTATTTACAAATAAATAGAGAACTTTCAAATAGAATTTAAATATAAGGACAACCATATGTAGCCATTTTTGTTTATTGATTTCTTTTAGCAAAAGTAAACGAGTAATTTGTTATCCATAAAAATGTGGAGCCATATATCATGTGCAATTAATCAAAATTCATAAAATATGGTATTTATGGTGCCAATTAATGTGGAAGCACATTCAGTCTTATCCAACAAAATACGGATAATTTTGTTTTCTCACCGCAAAACATGTTGAATATTTAATATTTTGCAAAATAATGCTATATAGCACCAACCTAGATCACTACACTTGATAGGTTTAATTAAATGAATTATATGATATTGCATTTAAGTAAACCTATCATTTAATACTATACAGTTGCCATCTAAATTTATACTTGGACATCAATGTTGCTGAGTAACATTACTCTTTACAAAGAGGTCAATGTTCAACCCTACAATGGTTTGCACGGTTTCCTTATGTTTTACTTAAAGCTAAGTACTTCTAGGTATTTTGTTCTTATATTTTCATATAGTACATTTGAGATAATATCTTGGACAGATGCAATAATATATAAAAAATTTCTTAAGTACTTTCTTTTCTTAATCATATTAGGGTACGTGTATTAAGGTTTCTGCTCTTGTTTCTCATAGAAAATCTCGTAAAAATGTCACTTTGTGTCAACTCCCTCTAAAACTTCTTCTAACCACAGAAAATACTTTTAAGAAATTATTCAAATATATTTAGAACAACTTAAGTAACTTTTGACTTTTGGAAAATCTTGCCAAACAATCTTTAGTTCATTTTTAATTCAACTTATAAAACATACTAAAGTTCCAAGTTCTTAGAGCTTTGTTTTGTGGCAATAAGATCTTAATTTAGTTGCGAAAGAAAGAAGATATTAAAACAGAGGTTCTAACTAAAATAAAATGCTTATTCATCATTAGTAGAGATTATCATCGATTTAAGTGGTAACGGTCTCTAGATTCATTGTCCAATGAAATTATAATGCAATTTAATGCATTGGAAAATGAATCACGTAAGGAGACGCTGTCACTTATATTGATAGTAGACCATACAAATGAACAATGCATTAGACAATGAATGGCGTTACTCTTCACAAACTTATGTGATCTTGAGTTTGAGTTTTGCAATGCACAGCTGGAATTTGTTTATATTTTGTTATTTTATTCCACTTATATGAGTTTGACATTTCTTCTCTAATTAGAGTTGGTATATATATCCTCTATTTGCTAATACAAAATGCCAATGTATCATCATAAATGAATCTAAAAAATAAATATATTTCACAATTTTTAACTGGTTATAATTAAACAAAATAAGTTTGGAGTATTCAAACTCCTAAAATTATTAGAGTGAATGGAACTTGAACGTGACTGGTATTTAAAATCGGAGCTTGACATAAACTTTTACCCTTATCGAAACACAAATAGCTATATTCATACTTCGAGAGACAAACAAGGATGCCGATGAGTATATACACGTGCATATATTGATGAAGAATATGTTATTCTAATCATTGGGTATAATTTTTGAGGGGGGCATTTACAATGAAAGATACACATCTATAAGATAAGAATAATTATACTATAATAAAACGAAAAATAATTAAGGACAATTACTAATTAATAATATTTTGCCCATATCTACCCCTCAATTCTAACAGTATATTCCAAAAAAGAATGATAACTATGAGGAGCCAACAGTATTTGATCTATGGTGACACGTAATATAATGCGATCACCCAAAATATGGTGTAAAACAGTCTAGCTTTCTATTTTCATTTGGTGGAGGTGAGATTATAAACATCCTCCTAAACTTGTTTTTGTTTTTATTTTACCTCATGGTGGCTTCTTTTCCAAAAAAAAAAAATAATAACAATAATAATAATAAAATAAAAATAAAAAAATCAATGCCTAAAAAAAAATTTAGCACTTAAAGTGTAATTATTTTTATTTTTTTACTTTCTACTCCTCATAAACACTAAAATAAGATTTTATGTATATAGTTCACATAACCTCTACTGGCATATTCTGTGCTATATTAATGTATTTAACTTATCAATTCTTTTGCCTGAATCATATTTTAATTTTCAATATAATATCAAATATCTTGGAAAATTTAAGAAGCCCTTCTAATATTAAAACTATTTGAAACTATGTCCGTTTAATCTAGCTTTCGTCAATCATTCATCTAGTTACTGTTACATGAGTAATTGGTTTTACAAAACATATAAAAAATATAATAACATAATAATTGAAGAAAGAACAGATACACGGAATTAACAAGTACACGAAAATAATTAACTACTGAAAGGAAGAAGATATTAGCAAATCGGGGCCTATTTAATACACATTGTCCTTAAAACAGATTTGCTTCTTGCTGTAGGACACAACAGCAAAATCAGTCGCATGCTGAATGCGAAGCATCTACTTTGGCAAATTGAACCTTTTCTAAACACTGTCACCAAGAATGATAGAACTCGGACAAGAAAAGCATGGTAAGAACCCCAAGGACGTTATAGAGGAGTTTGATTGTGGAAGAATGTTTGGATTGTTTTCATTGTTTGTGTTGTTGATTTTAAATTCCACAAGTGTACGGACTGTAAAAAGTAATAAAGTAGATTTAAGAGTGCGAATATCATTCCCACAAAGACTTCTATTTAACAATTGATTCAATTATTCAAAACTTGGATTTAATCAAAAACAAATAAAAGTAGTTGTTTTTCATTTTTCATTTTTTTTTTTTGTGATTTTCTACTAAAACAATAAAAGTTTATTTTCTAATGATGGGTTTAAGTGTTAGGATTCATGAGTCACCATAGTCGTCCCCTTAGTCTCAATCATCAAGTTTTGTACAATTGATTATGTTCATCCGATCGAATTATTCTAATATATTCAATTTACCCCTTTCGAGTTCTTATTGATTCTATTTAACGAATTCAATTTCATATCTTTATGTGAATTAATTTTAATTAAACACAATTATGTGCTAAGCATTCATGTAACGATCGCAATAATTAGCATAAATATCTTTACGTTTTATACTAGTACCAACTTTTACTATGTGGTCTAAACAAATAATCAACATCTCTACATAATTATTGTTCACAAAACCAATGAATTACTGGCCACTTAATCAAAGCATTGAGAATAGAAGTAAAAACAATTCACAAATTCAATTTGATATTTAAAACTTTTTAATTAAAAATAAGGTTCAAAATTAGATTATAATCATTCATCCTAACTAAATACTTAATTACACATCACGAGAGAATAAAAATATAAGAAGGAATTAAAGCACATCACTGGGTATTAAGAAAAAATGAAAAAAAGATGAAAATCTTGCACAAAGATTCTGCATCTTCTTTTGAAATTCTTGAACCCCTAGCTCGTTGATTGATTTCTTGATTATTCCATTTTTTTTGGCTTGAATAATATATGTATAATGAATCCCCAAACTTTGGCTTGAACGTATGTGTATAATGAAATTTCACAAGTTCCCTTTAAATTGTTAGACTACAATATGTATTTATAGAACATGATGTAGGTAAAATCATTGTTCAACTTGATTTCCTCAAAAGAGTTCAAATTGATTTAAGCCAAAGAATTTAAGAAATAAAAGGAAACAAATTCCTTTTCAATTGGACTCCTTTTCTAATATAACTTTAGTCCTTTTCAATTGGACTCCTTTTCTAATATATATATATTTATATTCTGACCTTTAATGGTCAAATATTCCCTCCCTCTCTCTCTCTCTCTCTCTCTCTCTCTCTCTCTCGTGGGATGCACACCCCAAACTTTTTTTCAATCACATTCCCGAGGTGTTTATTCTAAGGTTGATCACACAACACTCTTTTCTTTTCCCGTTCTAATTTGGTTGGATGTCACCAATGAAAGTCACTATCTTAAAACATGATGATTCTCCTTAAGTTTGAATGTTTCAACCTCCAGATTTCAACTAGGATAATAACCCCGTCAAAATTCTAAATTTCAAATTAAGTATCCAAGGCTTTGTTGGACAGAAAACAGTGCTTATAGTTGTTTTTCCATTATCTCAACACACTTTGGTGTGTGTGCGCTTTTTTTTATTGTGTCATTTCTTCTATTTTTGGGATCTTTTCTTTGATTTTCAAATATAACTTTCACTTTACATTGCAGGCAACTTTCTTCCCTAGTAGATCGTCTCCTAAACATTGGCGATGAATAGGCTAGATTACTCAATACTAGCTGCACACAATGTAGGTAAATTTTTCATACTTCACAACTATTGCAATGCTTTTTATTTTTTTAGATAAATAAGTGAAATCAAACCACTAGTTGATGATTTTCACCTAGTCTCTACTTGTTAGCCAAAAACATTCCACACAGATATTCAATGTGCACGGAAACAACACATATCTAAATAGCTTCCGACAACGGATCAACCACTCTCAAACTTATCCTTTCAATAGGTTAAGTGGTTGTGCTATAAATTATGATCTTGATTTATAAAGACCTAAATTCATTCAACGTATTCTATCAATGTAACCAAACCAAAAACACATAATAAATGTCAAATGGAAAGTTCTCTTTTGCTCCTCATGTAGTACTCAAACTATTTGGAGATTGACAAATAAATATCCATTTTAAGCTTAGTTATACTTCATGCAAGTTTGGGAGTGTTTAATTCAAAAATTAATATCTTATAAATTACGGATTTTGCGGAATATGTATTGAATGAATGAGTAGAAGTTATAGATCCTAAAATATGTGTGGATAAAAAGTATATTTGATCGATTAAATTATGATTCACTCTTTGGCAAACATACACATAATCAACCTTGACATTATATATATATATATATTTTTTTTTTTTTTAAATTGATTTTATTAGTCTAATAAAAACCTAACACAAATTCTAGTCAAGCTTATTTGCATAAAAGAAGCACAAGATATAGGTAAAGTATTAGCATGCACGAAACTAACTAGCTGTTATACGTAGCAACGGAAAGATGGCTTCCAAATTCAAGGCAGCAATTGTTCGAACTCCTTCACCTATATATCATAATAGTAATAATTAATGACCACTTAATTATTTCCGTATTATAGTGTAGATTGATGAATTATTACAAACATTATTTGCTTATTTAATTAGATTTCTTCATTTTCACTGTCTGAACAATATCACGCAGAAGCTAACGGCCTATTATTCTTCAGTTTTTCTGGTAGCCACCGCCACGCAACGAAATCATTTCCTGCCTAACTCACACCTTTTATTTGTGTGAAAAGACATAAAACAGCCATAAATACGTTCTTACGAAACACGTTGTGACTTGTGATGAATTTGTACAATATTAAATGTCAATGCGGTTTAACAGGTAGTTGTTGGGGGGTAATTTAATGCAATTTAAATGAAGGAGAGATTTTATGAGAGGATACCGAATTATATATAATCCCTTCTTGCATGATGTTCTTAATGCAAGGTCTTAGTAAATTCTGAACATATATTACTTGGAGAGTTGTACTAATACAAGGGGGCGATGAGAGTTGGCGGGTTGTTTTGTCTTTGTTTTTATGTTGTTTTGGTGGGTGCGGTCGTTGCTAGAAATGTGGATGATGAAGAGAAGTTTCTGACAATTGGCAAGGGAGGTGGAGGTGGAGGTGGAGGTGGAGGCGGTTTCGGTGGTGGTGGTGGTGGGATCAGTGGGGGAGGTGGACTTGGTGGAGGCATTGGGAAAGGTGGTGGATTTGGGGGTGGCATAGGTAAAGGTGGTGGTTTTGGTGGAGGCATAGGGAAAGGTCATGGATTTGGTGGCGACATTTGGAAAGGCGGTGGATTTGGTGGCGGCATTGGAAAAGGCAGTGGATTCGGTGCCGGCATTGGCAAAGGTGGTGGATTTGGGCACGGCATTGGTAAAGGTGGTGGTTTTGGTGGAGGAATAGGGAAAGGTGGAGGTTTTGGTGGCAGCATTGGGAAAGGCGGTGGATTTGGTGGCGGCATTGGCAAAGGTGGTGGATTTGGGGGCGGCATTGGAAAAGGTGGTGGATTTGGTGGGGGCATTGGAAAAGGTGGAGATTCTGGTGGTGGCATAGGCAAAGGTGGTGGATTTGGTCGAAGCAATGGAAAAGGTGGTGGATTTGGAGGCGGCATGGGAAAAGGTGGTGGATTTGGGGGCGGCATTGGAAAAGGTGGTAGATTTGGCGGGGGCATTGGAAAAGGTGGAGGTTCTGGTGGTGGCATTGGAAAAGGTGGTGGATTTGGGGGCGGCATTGGAAAAGGTGGTGGTTTTGGTGGAGGCATAGGCAAAGGTGGTGGATTTGGGGGCGGCATTGGAAAAGGGGGTGGATTTTGGGGAGACATAGGCAAAGGTGGTGGATTTGGGGGTGGCATTGGAAAAGGTTGTGGATTTGGAGGCAGTCCAAGTGGTGGGTTCAGCAAGGGAGGAGGAATTGGTNGGTGGGGGGGGGGGGGGATATGGGGTAATCCGAACATTGACCTAGAAAAAACCCATTTTAAACTTATTGGTTATCCATAATCGAGTAGTATCAAATATATACATCTTCACATTATGAACAACTTACATAATATGAATAAAGTTATGCCTTAATAGACTAAAAATCTTTATTTAATTTGTTTATTAAAACCTTGGTCAAATTCTAGTTGAGCGTCCTTGCATATGAGATTAAGTATGAAATGGTCCTTCACTAAAATGAATGTAGATGTCTAGGGGTTTGTTAAATAAATATACGGGTCACTTCTCAATCAAATCAAGCTTTTATCCAAGGTGTTCAATAAATTATTTAAAACATAATTCAGCTATCTTATTTAGATTAATTTGGCTGTCTGGTGAATGCAATAATCAATGGCCTATGGATCATCAATTTAATTTGGTTGCAGGTGAAAGCATTTCTGAACCAAATCATGGGAAGTTCTTCTGTGTCACAAAATATAAAACAGCCATAGATACATTCTTACCAAACACATTTTGATGAATTTATATAATATTAATAAGTTTCCATTTGTAAATTTGTAAATGGCTTATAAAAAATAATAATTGTAGGTCTTACTAAATATGTGGATAATAAGGAGTAATAGTTATGAATGTATAATCAAAATTAATAATTGATTTTGACTAAATTTATAAACTATTTTTAATTGATATTGAAACCGAGTGTAAATGTCAATGTTGATGGGCCATTTAGTGCAAATCTGAATGAAAGGGAGATCACAGGAGAGGACAATAGTTGTTTCGCGCGGGTTAGTCGCTAACAATTAAAAAGGGATCAAACAATTGTGTAAGGGACAAACCTCTTGAGACAAAGTCCCAAAAAGGGGTGTTCTTTATTGGCGATGTCTTTACAATCGGAAAGTAAAAAACAGAATGCCTCCAAAGGGTGCAAGCACATGAGTTACTGAAAAAAAGTGTTTAAATCTAAACTAAGAAATTTAAAATTACATGTTCTCTGTTCGAGAGTTTTTGATTCGGGGTCCTTTGCTCTATGTCTTTTCTTCCTTTTATACTCCCTGGATGATCTCCTTGTGATCAACCGCTTAAAAACTGCTTGATCGTCCTATAACTGCCCACTTTTCTTGTAACGGCCAACTTGTCATGGAACTGCCTTTTTTAACTGCTGCCATTACTCTTTGTCGTTCAACCATTTTCGATTGAATTCCTTGAATCGTGGAACGTGATAGGCTGCTTAATAACTGTTTTGATAACTGCGCTTCTTGATAACCGTAACACTTCATGTTTGCTAAGACCTTGGGCGACTCGAAGGTTTGGGCAAGAATAGAGTAGCAGCTCTGGGCGACTGCATGACATTCTATTCGCTCAAATCCTGGACGACTTGCAAGCTTGAGCGATGGTATTACCGCGTTTGCGGGCCTTCCTATTTGGGCCTTCATCCTGAATTGTCTGATTGGGCTTCATTCTTTGGGCTATCTGATTTGGGGATCCTCCAATTGGGCCTCATTCCTTGGGCCGTTCGATTTGGACTGAATTTTTATGTGTCAACAATTACCCCCCAATATGGCAGAATTAATACCAATTATTAAATTTTGCCATATTCACTTTTATGTTTCTAGCAACATTCGAAATTCTCAAGAATTTCAATCATTGTTTTCTTCCATAGCTTTGAAAAGGTGCGTCGTTTTGCAAACACTTATAACCCCCAAATACGCCATTTCACTGCACCATTAAATCACGCCTCACTTTTTCGCGCTTCTCTCTCACATTTCTACTGTTCATCTCTTTGCTTCCCTGCTACGTAACTCTGAAAAACCCATTTCGTCCCTAATGGCTACTTCACAATCTCAATCTGGGGACTCCTTTAGTTTTGAAGACTTTCAGGAACTCCTTAATCGTCCATACATAACTCCGAACTTTCTCGCATCTGCCAATGTCGAACTCAATGAGTTCTACCTAGGTCCTTTCTTCAACAATGTAGAGGCAGTCGAACAAGCGGCGGTGGGCCAGCTGTTTCCTTGTACTCAAGGCCCTCCATTTCTAAACTCTCTGCCGCTGGGGCCACTTCGTGAAAGAGGTATTCACACTTGGCCCAAATCTAAGGTAGTTTTCCGTAGGTGGCATGCTCGCCTTGTGGACCATGGTCCTACTAAGGCACTTTTTGATAATGCTAGGATTTCTGATTTGTTAGAAATCTCTCTTCAACCCCCTACTTTTGATTCAGCACTTTTTTCGATCGCTTTAAGTTTTTGGTCTTCTAAATATAATACCTTTGTTTTCCCTCTTGGCCCCATGTCTATTACTTTAAGGGATGTTGGGGCCCTAGTGAATCTGCCACCTTTGGACGATACCATTTTTCCTGGTATCTTGGTTTCTGGTGGCGCTCCAAAGTTTGGTAAAAACCTCACCGAGTCTTATTCAAGCCTGCAAACCCTTTATAACCATTTGAGCGCTGAGCCTTCCCATACTGAGCAAGTGGCATTTCTTCTAGTTTGGCTTTGTAAATATGTTTTGTGTGTGCCAAGCATAAAGCCCTCCCTAAGCTATTTACCCATAGCGCACGAATTGGCACGTGGCAGGCCTCTGAATTTATATTCTTTCTTTTTGGCTGCCATCTATAGAGGCATGACTTCTCTTCAAACTCAATTGAAGAATGGTGCATCTCCCACTGGCAGTGGACCTCTTTGGTTCAGTCAAATGTGGTTGAGATCCTATTTTCCATTGCTTAGTGCTCCATCAATTTCTCGTCCTTCTGCTAGCTGTTATGAGCTAGCCATTGAGCCCTTGGCTCCTGTAAATATGTCTAGAAGGGACATTTTTTCATTTTTTTATTCTTTGGATTCAATCCCTTCCTTCTTTCATTTTCCTCCTTTTTTGACTCCAGACTATGTGCATCCTCCCTCCACTATAGACAGCGCGAGCACTTCTCTACTCATTTGGATCCAGTTTTTAACCAGGAGAGAGTTATTTCATGATATTTTGACTGGGACCAATGCCAAGGCAGGGGTAGAAATATATGCTCCGCAAGTTTTTGCTCGCCAACTTGGTTTCGGCCAAACTTGGCCTGTTCTCCCTTGCTATTCAAGGAACTTGATAGACCGTTCCATATTATTAATAAGGTGGAGGCAGAGGTTATAAATGCTCGCAATCTTCTTTTGACGAGCCATTTTTCATTAGCCCCCTTCAATTCTAGCCATGTCATCCATCCCCTTTTTGAATAGCTCTGACCGTCAGTGAAGCGTAGATTGTTTGCGACTGATGCCAATCGTGCTTTTCATTCACTGGACCAGCCGAGCATTTCTTCCCCTCCTCCTGTTTTAGTCACCCCTTTGTCCATCCGGAGTCCTTCTCCTCCTCATTGCGCTAAACAGTCTGCTCGTCCATCTTCTTCTCTCCCTGCCAAGCCTACTGCAGCCAAAAGTGCCCCGAGCTGCAAACGGCCAGCCTCACCATCTCCCATTCTGGAGGATAATGTTGATGATGATGATGATGATGATACCCCCTCTTATCATCAGGAGGAAGGTAATCAAATTGGTTTACTCACAAGCATACTTTTCCATACTTGAAACTTTTCTGTGTGCTGATGATTTATTTGGACTTCTCAGAAAAGTTCAGCCTCTCCTTTAAAGGCTTTGGTATTGGCAGCTCTTGCTCCACCATCCTCCGCTGAGGCTGCTTCATCCAAACCAGCTGATGAAGGGACCACGGTTAAAGAGACATCTTCAGTCCCAGAATCCTTATCATAGCCAATGGATGAGCCACCTTCTTCCCAGGGCGTCAACCCCCCAAACATCGAAGCAGAAGGTAATTCAGTTTTTTGATGCTTTACCTTTGCTTGTGCTATTGGTTCTGATTTGTTGCTTTTGAGTTCTGCAGATGCTCCCATGAGTCTGCCCGTTGTGGCAACATCTTCTTGCTCAGACAAGGGGAAGTCCTCGCGAATGGTGGAGCCACAGGTGGCAGACTTGGCTGAGGATATGCCATCTTCCAAGATTATTGATGAGGTAATATTTGCTTCACTTTTATTTCCATCTTGTTCGTTGTAGTGAGAATCTTCAGTATTGGCAATTTTCTTTGCATGATGCCGATAAGATTGTGCGTTCATCCAAGATTTGTTCGCTTCCTGAGGGCAAATCAAGACATCTCGCCCTACTCCATCTGGTCGTCCTGCTACTTCTTCAGAGAAAGATATGAAGTTCCTCAAGCAGTCGATATTTGAGTACGTGTCCTTCATGGATATGGGCATTGGTAAGGCTAGTGCTGCCAGACATAAGGATAAGCTTGAGCATTTGAATGCGAAGTTGGAGCAAGCACTAACACTTCCGTCGCTCAATCTTTCTACTGATTTTAAAGCGACGTTGAAAGTTATCCATTCCGAGGTCCTCTCCTTGCTGGCCAAGAATGTTGAACTGAAGGCCAAAAGTACTCAATATCTTCGCGCCGTATCTGAAAAAGAGTCTTTGCATCAGGAGATCAACAAAGCTGAGGACGATTTGAAAGAAATCTCTTCCGAAGTCATGATTGAAAACTCTTTGATGGTTAGTTTGGCTGCTCAGATGAAGGAACTTCAAGCCAAAATAAACGACTGCAAGGTGAGAATGGCTGCTAAAAAGCGTAACGCCTCCCAAGAATTGAGCGAACTAAGTCTTTGGTTGAGCAGTACAAGAAGTTGGAAGTTGATGATGACGTTGTGGCCGAATTGAACATCACTTCTTCTCGGCAGAATGAGGACTGGGGAAAACTTAGGGAAAGAATTCGTTCGGTATGGAGCGGATTGTAATTAAGACATATAATGCCTTAACTTTTTCTTTTTGTAATTTCGCATTTGACTTTCCCTTTGTAACCTTGCATATCATTAATGAACATCTATGTTAACTTCTTGTGCATTTATTTGACGTTCGTCTTTTAATCGCCAATCCTTCAAGCATTCAAATTTTGCACATTTTCTCTTGATATTTCCACCTCTTTTCCCAAGACTTTGGGCTA